ATTTTGTAGGGTTAAAATGAGGTCTACCAAGTAAACATATATACAATTTTTAGACGAAACTGTGATTTACGTTAACTTTGACAATTTTAAATCCTCCGCCACTGCACATAATTGGAACTTTTGAAATCTATTTTCTCATATAGCAGCTGTATAGATTAACAACAAATAATATAATTCAAATTAGTGTAAAGCGTTTTTGATGAATTTTTCAAAATGTGAAAATTTTATTTATATTAAAAGCTGCCATATATACACAATCAATTTAGTCAACCCCCACCCCTCTTCCATCAACACACACACACAAACACACCTTATTTGCCTGTTTTTTGGAAATAGGCCTAGATGGCAAAGTTAAAATAAAACATCTTTTGTAAATGATAATTTTCAATTTGTTCTTGCACTATACATGTATCTGAACACCTGCATCACCTTGGGCTTGCGTCACGTACCCAACTTAAGTACTAGTTTTACCATTGGCATTATCATTTTAGATTTCACTGCACGTGCAGTAGGCTACTAGTGTGCATCATTGCATATATGTCAGAAGGAATTATTTCATTTTGTGTTTTAACTGGATTATTTTTCATGAAGATGACAGTGCCTAAACAATGACAATCGGTAAGTACAAGTTTTGGTATAGATTTGGGTAAAATAGTATGAAATGCAAACGGTTAGGTTCAAGTTTAAAGGATCAAAGGTCATCCAATGCTACAATAGACGAATTTCACATTCTGAAGAGTTATCCCCCGTTATCAACGTTACATTCAGTTACAAGATCCAGAATTTTTTTTTCTGGGAGGGAGGGAGGGGGGGGGGGTCCAGACCAGAATTTCCTGAAAAGCAAAAAAAAAAAAAGAAGAAGAAGTTATGGTTGGGTCTGTTTTCTAGGGTTGAGGGACACTTATGGCATCCAAAGTCATTTTTATTTCCTCCAGTTTATATTTTAGTCCTGCAAATTCCAGGGGGTGGGGGGTGGGGTGTTGAGTGGGCGATCTCCCAATCCACTTCCCTGTCCCTGTAATGACAAATGATCATGTGACTCCTAAATAGTAGGAACCTTTTTCCATTTGACTATATATAATTTTGTTTCTTGTGTTATTATATTATGTAAATTTAATGGTATAAATGTTATGGACCCCTAGAGGTCATCCCCACTGTCCTAATGAGCTGAAATGTTCACAATATGACTGCATTAAATTAAATAAAAGTGCATCAATGATAAGATTACTTGACATTTTATTCATGAATTTGTGTTAACCTATCTTCCTAGAATTAGGAATGAAACTCATTCAGAGATGGACCACATTAAACAATTTGTATAAACATTTTTTTTAAATGTAAAAACAAGTAGTAGTTTGCATACATGAACAAACAGGGGTCTGGGAAGGGGTGAGGGGAAGGATTGAGTTAATATTTCTTCATGCCTTAATGGTTGAAAACTCCTAAAATGAATGTTGACCTCAAATCTAATTTGTCCTCATTATTTTTCAAGTGGTGGTGTCTCCATATGATTGAAAAATTCCTGAGTGGGATGTTTAACAACAAACAAAGTGACATAAAAACACAATATTGATTTGCGTTAAGAAATATGCAGGGGATTTTTCCCATCATAAATCTTCTCAAGAAGAGCAAGGGCATTATTGTCCCCCATTTTGGGGAAAGGGAGGGGACATTAAATCTCATTTGTCTGTCAGTCTGTCCATCTTATTGACAGCTAGTATGTGCATCTGTCACAATAAATTTAACCTTGGTCATAACTTTCGAATAATAAGAGATAGTGCTTTCATATTTCACATGTACATTACCACAAAACTTTCTAAATATACTATGATTTTTTAACCCAAGTGAGACCTTGGCCTTTAAGTTTTACCTACTTTCCAAAAAATAACATTTTTAATTGATCATTTTGAAAGAGAAAAGAAAGGGCATTCAAATTATACATGTTTATTACATGTGAAAAGACTTTTCTAAATATATCATGGCTTTTGACTCTGTGACCTTGACCAGAAGTTTAACCTACTTTTCAAAAATATTATATTGTATTTATAACTTTTGATTCAAAAGAGACTTTCATATTTGACATGTACATTACCTCAGGGTTCGAAATTAACTCATGTCCGTAAGTCCGAGACTAGTAAAAATTGTGTCAGACTAGCAGATTTTGTAAGGTACTAGTCCGTACGGACTAAGTGCAAATCCAGATTTAAGTCTTGAATTGGTTCGTATTTTATTTCCGAGTCTCTTAGATGTTTGAAAAACCGCGATAAAGCGTTTTCTACATTGTGATCAATAGACAGATGAGATTTCTGAAAGTTGAAAACCCTCTTTCTTTCACCACATGCTTCCAACTGATGTGTGGACATATATTTTGTTTAATTAATTGATAAAATTTTAAGATTTGTGTTATTCTTTTTACATACTATAGGGCGGACTTATGTGGAATAGTTTGCGGACCAGTGGAAGCTAGAAGTCACTAGTCCGTGCGGACTAGTGCTAAAAAAAGTTAATTTCGAACCCTGTTACCTGCAACAAAATGTTTCAGAGCATGCTATGATTTTTCCCCTTTGACCAAATTTTAAAAAATTGATATATGATAGGGGTGCATATTTGACACACAATCTGCCATAAATTATAGCGCCTGCTGCATCCCATTCACTAAAACATAGAAAGCAGAGAATCACAATTCCTTGAATTTGCTTGTATAATCTTGATAGATGGAAACATCCTCATATAATGTAGATTATGTATAGTTTTGTCATGTCAGTCCTCCACCCTTCCATCTGTCTTTCCACTGGGCTCAAAGAAACTTTCTAGATATTTTAATCAAAGTTCATATGTTGATGCATACTGATGTAAATATCCAACTGCAGCAATATTTTTGAGTTTGACCTTTCCTTTGACCTTCACTTAACTTTTCTTTAAATTAGTGTTTAGCTTTATTTTAAAGAAACCATTCAAGTTGTGTAATGAAACTTCACATGATGATACATACCGATGTAAGCTTTACAATGCTTCACTCTTTTTTACCTTGACCTTTCTTATGACTTTGACCTCACTTTTCCAAAATTAATGTCTAGATCAGTTTTGAATAAACAATTCAAGATACATTTATCAAACTCCATATGCTGATACATACTGCTGAGAGCTATTAATACATCAACTTATTTTAACCTTGAATTTTCCTTTGACCTTGACCTCACTTTTTAAAATATGTGTTTATCTAAGTTTTAGATAAACCATTAATTATAGTTTTATCAAACTTCATATGCTAATATAAATTCATACTGATGTAAGCTTTTCAACTGCAACAACATTTTGGCCCCAACCTTTCCTTTGACCTCTCTTTTTTTAGAAAAAGTGTTAAGCTCAGTTTCATTAAATCATTCAGACAAGATATTTTTATCAAACATAATATGCTGATATGTATTAGTGAAGCTACTCAACTGCATCAAAAACTTCACCTTGCACATTCCTGTGACCTTGACCTCCATCCTTTTTAATTTGTATTTCGCTTAGTTTTAAAGAAATGATTTAAGACATTTTTAAAACATCATTTTTCGACCCCCATTAGTCCCCACTGGGGCAAAATCTAAATTCCAAAACCCTGCTGTACATCTACATGACACTACTAACCATCTCCCAAAAGATGATTAGGCTACTGTGAAAAATGTATGAGGAGTTCAGGGAAGACGGGGCTTTTTGCATAAAAAACTTCATTTTTCGACCCCCATTTGACCCCCCGAGGCAAAATCAAAATTCCAAAACCTTACTGCACATCTACATGACACCACCAACCATCTCCCAAAAGATGATTAGGCTACTGTGTAAAATGTAAGAGGAGTTCAGGGAAGACGGGGCTTTTTGCATAAAAAACGTCATTTTTCGACCCCCATTTGACCCCCCGAGGCAAAATCAAAATTCCAATACCTTACTGCACATCTACATGACACCACCAACCATCTCCCATAAGATGATTAGGCTACTGTGTAAAATGTATGAGGAGTTCAGGGAAGACGGGGCTTTTTGCATAAAAAACATCATTTTTCGACCCCCATTTGACCCCCTGGGGCAAATTCAAAATTCCGAAACCTTACTGCACATCTACATGACACCACCAACCATCTCCCAAAAGATGATTAGGCTACTGTGTAAAATGTCAGAGGAGTTCAGGGAAGACGGGGATTTTAGCATAAAAAACGTCATTTTTCGACCCCCATTTGACCCCCCGGGGCAAAATCAAAATTCCAAAACCTTACTGCACATCTACATGACACCACCAACCATCTCCCAAAAGATGATTAGGCTACTGTGTAAAATGTCAGAGGAGTTCAGGGAAGACGGGGATTTTTGCATAAAAAACGTCATTTTTCGACCCCCATTTGACCCCCCGGGGCAAAATCAAAATTCCAAAACCTTACTGCACATCTACATGACACCACCAACCATCTCCCAAAAGATGATTAGGCTACTGTGTAAAATGTAAGAGGAGTTCAGGGAAGACGGGGATTTTTGCATAAAAAACGTCATTTTTCGACCCCCATTTGACCCCCCGGGGCAAAATCAAAATTCCGAAACCTTACTGCACATCTACATGACACCACCAACCATCTCCCAAAAGATGATTAGGCTACTGTGTAAAATGTAAGAGGAGTTCAGGGAAGACGGGGCTTTTTGCATAAAAAACGTCATTTTTCGACCCCCATTTGACCCCCCGGGGCAAAATCAAAATTCCGAAACCTTACTGCACATCTACATGACACCACCAACCATCTCCCAAAAGATGATTAGGCTACTGTGTAAAATGTAAGAGGAGTTCAGGGAAGAAAAGTGTGACAGACGGACGGACGGACGGACGGACGGACGGACGGACGGACATGAGTAACAACAATATACCCGAACTTTCTTTAGAAAGTGCGGGTATAATTAATGATAATCAAGTTATGATATACATGTAATGCAGTAAACTAAAGTATGCATTTTTTTTTAAATAAGAGGTTAGATTCATTAAATGACATTGGCCAAGGATTGGGAGAGGTCATTGAAACCTCAACAGCCGAGGATATACATTTACAATAAAGTGCCAGTGGCCCATGTACATTTACTGTACAAAATTAGTGACTAGAGTGACAAACACATGTATTAAATGCAAAAATATATGTAGTATACAACTACATTGATACAAAGATCCCATAAAAATGAACAGTTGCTATTTTCCACCAATGTACGTGCCAAAGATCCCAATTATGGAAGATACAAAACTTCTGACATGTTGCTAGAATCACATCCTCACAGATATCCCATGAAATTTGCAATAGAGGGTTGACAGATATTTGGCATCACCAACGGATTCACTTTTAGTACGAAGGCTCAGCAAGTTCGATGTTGATCATTCAAACAGACACTTCAAACTTCCCTTGCACAATTTCTGAAAGAGGAGATGACCATTTAAGATGTATCATTATTGATATCAGTATAAATATATGACAAATAATAAACTAAAGCTCTACAAACAATTGTTCTTTTCTACCTGGCAGATCAGTTTACTGTAGAATATGAATTCACTGTCTTGCAATTTTTTGTTCAAATTAGGATTAATTCTGATATTAAAATGTAAAAATGTGAAAAGTTTATAGACAACAGACAAACACAAGACTGTGACACTGATCAAAAAACTCACTTAGGCCTTAAAATGGCTCAGGTGAGCTTAAATGAAAAGGCTAGAGCTGAAGCTCAATGACTGACTAACATTGAAAAAAATTAATTTCAATTCATGTGATTTTATTGATTAAGAAAATAATGAAGAAATCTTACCATTTTTTTACACAGTTCTTGTCCTACCTCTTGTGAGCATCCGGATTCCTGTAAAATGCATGTATACTTCATAGAAGATGATATCTTTGATTAAATTTGATCCAAAATAATTATACATACCCATGCTGTTAGCATGTTTAGATTACCTTTCAGAATTCATTGTTAAAAATAATAAGGATATGGATATTAGGCATGTTAAGAATATAAATCTTTAAATGTTGTTTACTTGGCATAGTTGCAATATTTATTTTAATCTTATGCTTAAAGACATAGATTAATAAAATCAAAGTTAGTTTATTTGTTTTGAATGATAATTTGAGCTGGTTCTCACCATATTCACAAGCCTAGTGACTGATTGGTTAAGCATCTACATGTATATGCACTTTTATCAAAGGCTAGGGCTGTGAAAATCATCTCAGGCAATGCAGCAACTATTAAAACAATCGAAACATGCAAGATAAGAGCTGAAAATGGTCATGAACATGCATTACAAAATATATAATTAATTACATGTACATCATACTCTGTAAATGTTATCTTGAACAAAGGAAGGTACAGGTAAAATTCTTTACATCAGTTCGATTCCAAGCAAGGAAATTCGGGTTAAAATCAATGACCTTAATGATATGTATAGATTTGTTAAATAATGATTACAGAAATAGTGCTTGTCCTAACGATTTCACCGTCGGGCATTTTATGTATGGTGCCCGGATTAATCAAAAATAGCAGAAACATTCTTCGTTCGAGGACACATAAAATACTGTACAATATTGTACCTACCGGTCTTAAAAATGTCGTCATCTTCTTCCATCCCAAGCTGACCATGATCCCCCTGTTCGTGACACTCATTCCAACTTTCCTACTGTGGAACATCAACATGGTATTTACAGGTATTCGATATTTTTGAATTTCGGTGTTGTTAAAATTAATTGTTCATCGAGCCCGACTTCGATCCCGATGTTATTGTAATATTAGTCCAATTTAATTGATGACGTAAAAAGTTCGAATTCTTCATTGATAAAACTTGTTTTGATATAAAAAAAATTGTATTTTCAGTGAAAAATTATTCAGATAGTGTTTGTTATTTTTTTAAACAGAAATCTTGGAAATTCGAAACTAACGTATTTCTTAGCTCTACCGTATATTTTTGAAAAGGCGCAAACTTGAAAACGCGCGAGACGTTGGAAGTGGGAATTTGGAGAGTGGAAGGATCGGTATTTGTGATCTATAATATTTGCATAGTCACTGATCTTTGTAAACTTTTAAAGAAAATAACAGAATATGAAGAAGGAAGACTATATATAGGATTGATCTACTTCATAACTGGTGAGTGACAAAAAATGGAGGCAATCACTGAGTCAGAAATCTTTCTGTAAATGTTACTGTCTATTTGTAAAATTAATAAATATGTCTTTTTTTTTAAATGAAAGTTTTGTCTAACTTTGCTTTGAGTTTGGATCCAACCACATAACATACATTAATTATAGACTGAGACTCGAAACATTCATAGGCCTGATTGATCTACAAAATGGCGGTCCAAGAAAATAGGCTTAAATTCCATTCAGAATGTTTTAATTTGGAAGTGCCGCTGATGCAAAATTAAAATGCAAGAAAATACACAAAAAAGTCTTATGTTTTACAATCATGGGTAATTTCAGAAAATCTTTCTTTTTGAAGGAAAAAGAGATTAGAAGCAGTTCACAAATGTTGATGAGCAGAAGACAAGAAACTCTGGCTGCAAAAAAAAATCTGAGCTCTTGAAAAAGAAAGAAAAAAAGAATTGAAAATATGAATGATATTCAATCAAAGGATCCAAATGATGAAATTCTGGAAATTCCACATGGAGAGACAATAAGGATTTTTGAATTGACCATCTCTGCTATAAGAACTGCTTGAAAGCTGTTACCCTGGTGCTGAACAAACTTTTCTCGTAGACTGGAATTAAAAATTGTTCAATTTCTGGCATTAAAACACAATTTGAAATATGCTGAGGAAGGACCCCCCTCTCCTTTTGACCAAGTAAGGTTAAACATTCTGCAAGGAGTTGCATTTGAATTGAATTTTTTTTATACTTTTACCAGGAATGAACTACATTACTCATTTACTATGGTTTAATGTGTCAGAATTGTCTATTTTAAGTTTTTTGACAAAGATTTTGTTGCCATGGTTGGAAAACAAACAACATTTCTGTGAAATCTTTCAAGATGCTGTATTATAAATCATCTACTGTTACTTTTTTAGCATGACTTCATGCATTTTCATGAATAAACATGAATAATAATATTGGATTTTTTGTTTACAAATAAGCAAGAATATTCATGAATGCTAATGGTTCATGAATTTTATTCATTCATGAACATTCCTGAAAAAATTCATCAAATTATTCATGAATAGTTCATGAAGATGCAATGAACTTATTATTGGACATTCTTGAAATGATGAATCTTCATGAATATGACTGTTCATGAATTATTCATGAAAAAAAATATTCATGAATATTCATCAATTTTCTTTCATGAATAAAAATTCATGATTTGAAAATGTCCAATAATAAGTTCATAGGATCTTCATGAACATTTCATGAAGATTTCATGAATAAAATTCATGAAAAATTCAAGGAAATTCATGAATTATTCATGATCGTCTCGCAGGGGTATGCCCCGGCCATATTCATCGCAGGGTATATACATTACCCTGGTCACTCATCTGGAAAATGTAGGCTAGATTCAAGATCTAAAGCAAGTATTATTCATCTTATTCTGATAAATATAGTTTCCAAGGACACTCCTGAACAAACAAAATAGAAATACCAAAGAAATACAAATGGTAAGAAGCATCAAAATAAAATCATTTAACATGTTCAAAACAATCTTTTTTTCTGGTTAGTGTATATCTCAACATCAATATCAATACAAGTATGAATCAAGTAGAACTTAAAGTTATTTAAAAGGCCTGTTTAAACATTTTTTAACCTGTTTACTTTTAATATCAAGAAAATTTTTGTTAATTCCAACATATAAAACAAATATGGAAGTTTTCATCCTTATATGCACCATTTACGCACATTTATTCAGAACAGGTCATATTATGAACCTATTCATAAATCATTACCCTGGTCACTCATCTGGACAATGTAGATTTAATTCAGAATCCAAAGCAAGTATGAAAGTTTCATTCCTAGATACATCATCCATGTTTATTTTTTGGTTAAAATATTGTTTGAATTCATTCATGTGGAAAATAAAGGTTAGATCCAGCATCCAACATGTCCAAAGTAAAATGTTACATGGACAATAATGTCCCCTACCAGGTATTTGCAATATTATTGCAAAATCCATGTTGCTTCACCGACACTGAACATGCTATAATATCGCACTTTTACATAGTCATTAGTCATTACATAGCCTTTTTAATGATATTGAGAATTGTACAGTTGCACAATGTTTTGCAAGCTTTAAACAAACCAGGGGTTCAAAATTTTTTTTGTCATGGGCAAGTCCAGGACTTAAAGAGTAAATTTTAGGCAAGTCTGAGGAAGTAATTTCAGTGTCCATATTTACCTATACATCATTAAATTTATGTAACTTATAATTTATTTTCATTTGTTGCATTGAATGAATAAAAACTATGTGTATTAATATATGTTTTATTTTTCCTCCATAAACTGTCATACATGTATAGTCATCCATGGGTTTTCAAAACAATACCAGACTGATAGATTTTTTACAATAACTTTTACAAATGCAACTGAATAAACCATCTGTTACAGTAAATAGATATTAGAATGTGCTGTAAGTCACAGCTAAAACCGAAATTTAACAAACTCATTGCCATTTGTCATATAGGAGGAAACATGAGGAATTGCGTAAAAGCAAGAGTCTAACCGCAACAGAAAATAAAAAGACGGATTGTATTTTTGAAATGTTCGTAATGTTTTATGGGTATTTTAACGCCCACAGACCCACATTTTTACTTATTAATAATACATTTGAGAATTTGCTTTATTTTTAGCTTTACGATCATTTTTTTAACTTATAAAAAAAAGATGAAACATAGCAAAGTCCCAGGACTAATTCTAAATGACGAGTCAGATTTTTTAGTATTTTTGAACCCCTGCAAACTGTTAAAATTTCAGATAAAGAAGGATATGCATATAGCGTATAAATCCTATTTACCATCCTGGGCACTAAGGAAATTTCATAATATATAATGTCATATTTAAGTTTTGAAAACTTTTGAGCAAAAACAGGGCTCTCAATTCTCCAAAAATAATTAAAAGAACAACTAAAATAATTTTTAACTTTACTATATGTGAAGATAATCTACCTAAATTATGTTAAACTGATCATTCTCAACCAAACAAGAGGCCCAAGGGCCTTGTATCGCTCTTCTGATTAATTTACAACCTATCACTTGTATTCGAAGCCTCTAACCCTAAGTATCCTAAGACCAAAGTTGCATCACCTGACAAAGTTTGAAGATTCTTAGCCAAGTAGGACTACTTCTTGGTCTACATTCTTGGAAAACCCAAAATGCATCAACTGACAAAGGTTGATTATTCTAAGCCAATAAATACCTAAGATACTTAAATATAGCCATAAAATGTTGAAAGTAGGTCACTGTGACCTACTTTTTGGTTAACATTCTCCCAAAACCCAAGATGCATCAACTGACAAAGTTTGATGATTCTAAGCCAATAAGCATGATAAGTACCGGAGATACTTAAATATAGCCATAAAATGTCGAAAGTAGGTCACCGTGACCTACATTTTAGTCAACATTTTTCAGAGTCCCAAGATGCATCTGCTGACTAAGTTTGATAATTCTAAGCCAATAAATACCTGAGGTATTCAAAAGTAGGTCATCATGACCTACTTTCTGGTCAACATTCTCTGAAAACCCAAGATGCAACAACTGACAAAGTATGATGATTCTAAACCGATAAGTACTGGAGATACTTAAATATAGCCAAAAAATTTCGAAAGTAGGTCACAGTGACCTAATTTTTGGTCGTCATGAAAACCCAAGATGCATCAACTCACAAAGTTTGATGATTCTAAGCTAATAAATACCTAAGATAAATTATAGCCATAAAATGTTATAAGTTTACCGTGACCTACTTTTTTCATTAAAACTAAAAACCCAAGATGCACAACTGACAAAGTTTGATGATTCTAAGCCAATAAGTACCGGAGAGATACTGAAATATAGCCATAAAATATCGAAAGTAGGTCACCGTGACCTAATTTTTTGGTCATCACTCTCCGAAAACCCAAGTTGCATCAACTCACAAAGTTTGATGATTCTAAGCCAATAAATACCTAAAATACTTAAATATAGCCATAAAATGTCGAAAGTGGGTCACCTTGACCTACATTTTGTTCGACATTTTTCAGAGTCCCAAGATGCATCTCCTGACAAAGTTTGATGATTTTAGGTTTGAAGGTAATCAAAATATGCCTTTTAAACAATTTGAAAACATATGCCTGCAAAATTCTAAAATTAGGTCAGTGACCTATTTTTGCAAAATCCATCTTGGTTCCCGCAACTTACAAGATTAATTCTAACCCTTTCAGTGCCTGAAATAATGGGATTAAATGTTTTAAAAAGGATAAGTCATAAAGTCAGGTACATTTTTTAATTTTAAGAAAGATGTACATCAACTGACTAAGTTTGGTGATCATTTAAAGTGTCCAACAATATTTTAAATCAATTTGAAAACAAATGCCCGCAAAATTAAGAAAATATGTCATACCTACTTTTGTACCATGATAAGTCCTATTCAAGTTACAAGATTTGATGATCCTAGTCCTTATAGTAAGCAAAATATAAACATTTTTATTAATTGTAAATTTAGAACTTTAAAGTGACCTTGAGACCACGGCCCCAGGGTCATGCCTTGAACAATTTTTAATCTTCAACATATCCTGATCCTTGTATTTAAGTTTGGTGAAATTTTAAGTGGTTCTGGAAAGAAGATTTTTTTAGCAACTAGTACTTTTGGTTTTGTTTTCCTGATTCTCCAAATATAATTAAATAAACATGGTAGCCGTAAAATAATTTTGGTACTGATTGGCCAAAGGGTTCTTGAAGTTTATAAAAAGTTTTTTACGCTAAAAAT